AAGCAAAAAAAAAAATTTAAATGAGTGGTTCTTTGAGCAGACCTGCTAAGCAAAAGCACACTAGTTCTCCAGGATAAAAAGCAGAAAGAATAGGTATCTCACATTCTTTTTATTTGATACCAAGTACTTCCCCAGCGTAATATCTAAACGCACACATTAACTCTTATATCTACCTAAAGGAAACTCATATTTTGATAGATTTCAGCGTTTTGGTAATAACCACAAGCCATTGGCTGGACCTTAAGCACTATACGCTTTGTGCGACTGCCCCTTAACCAGCACAATATTCAAACAACTAGAGGCCGAGAGCGAGCGAGTGGGGCTAGCAGACCAAATGCACACTTAAAGCTGTCTGATGGCAATAGGGTTGGGACACAGAGCGTATCGATAAAGTTAAATAACTATATGAAAGAGTCTAAGTAGTTTTTTGAGCAGACCTCCTTAGCAAAGGCACACTAGTTCTCCCGGATACAAAAGCAGAAGAAATAGGTATCTCACAATTTTTTTCTTCTATGCTAAATCTCCTCAGCATAATATCCAAACGCACACAGAATAGCCACAAGCTATTGGCTGGACCTTAAGCACTAGACGCTTTGTGCGACTGCCCCTTAAGAGGACAATATTCAAACAACTAGAGGCCGAGGGCGAGCGAGTGGAGCTAGCAGACCAAATGCACACTTAAAGCTGCCTGATGGCAATAGTGATGGGACACAGAGCGTATCGATAAGTAGTACAAGGTATAGTATACCTTATTTTTAAAACAGTTCCCGTGCTTAAGGAAAAAGTATACCAAATATTTAGAACTCTTTCCGTTTTAGGTAAGTATACAATTCAGGAAAACTTGCAAAATTTTCACCGCAGGCTGGATTTGAACCAGCGACCTTGCCATCTGTAATGGCAACGCTTCTACCAACTGGGTTACGCTACAGCGGCTCACTCTAAAACCGCGAATTATGCAAAAAACTCGAGTCAAATCATAACTCCAAAGGCTAAAGCTCAAAAGACCATTCAACCACAGAGTCAATAACATCGTTTCGATATCATAATAACCACAAGCCATTGGCTGGACCTTAAGCACTAGACGCTTTGTGCGACCGCCCCTTAACGAGGACAATATTCAAACAACTAGAGGCCGAGGGCGAGCGAGTGGGGCTAGCAGACCAAATGCACACTTAAAGCTGCCTGATGGCAATAGTGGTGTGACACAGTCCGTATCGATAAAGTTGAAAAAAAAATGTATGTGTCTAAGTAGTTTTTTGAGCAGACCTCCTAAATCAAACTACTTCTCTTGGGCATAAAATCAAAAGGAAAAGGTATCACACATTTTTTTTTTCGTTGCCAAGTACTTCCCCAGCATAATATACAAACGCACACATTATATCTTATATCTCAACTGTTGGGGAAACACATATTTTGATAGATTTCAGCGTTTTGATAATAGCCACAAACCATTAGCTGGTCCTTAAGCACTAGACGCTTTGTGCGACTGCCCCTTAACGAGGACAATATTCAAACAACTAGAGGCCGAGGGCGAGCGAGTGGAGGAAGCAGACCAAATGCACACTTAAAGCTGCCTGATGGCAATAGTGGTGGGACACAGCGTATCGATAAAGTAAAAACATATGAAATTGTCTAAGCCGTGTGATGACGGCTTAGAATAGCATCACCCCAATTCTACCCGTGGGTGTCGTAAAAAGCGACTAAGGGATACTTATCCAGGGAATGGGCAGCAGCGTTCCCTGTCAATGCAACATCATACACTGCGCTCGCCAATCCGCCTGCCAAGCGTGGTGAGTATTGCAATACCCCCCTATAGGGGGAGGCCCATGTCCAGCAGTGGACTGTTGTGGCTGTTATTGTTATGGTTATGGTTTAAGTAGTTCTTTGAGCAGACCTCCTAAGCAAAGGCACACTAGTTCACCCGGATACAATATCAAAAGGAATAGGTATCTCACAATTTTTTTCTTCGATGCTTAATCTCCTCAGCATAATATCCAAACGCACACGGAATAACCACAAACCATTGGCTGGACCTTAAGCACTGGACGCTTTGTGCGACTGCCCCTTAACGAGGACAATATTCAAACAACTAGAGGCCGAGGGCGAGCAAGTGGGGATAGCAGACCAAATGCACACTTAAAGCTGCCTGATGGCAATAGTGGTAAGACACAGAGCGTATCGATAAAGTTAAAAAAATTATGAATGTGTCTAAGTAGTTCTTTGAGGCGCTGAAAAGCTCTGACACCAGGGTTCATCCGACTCGGTGTCCCACACGATGAGAGAGAGAGTAGTTATTTGAATAGACCTACTAAGCAAAAGCACACAAGTTTTCCAGGATAAAAAGCAGAATGAATAAAGTATTTCAAATTTTTCTTTTTGATGCCAAGTACTTCCCCAGCGTAATATATCTAAACGCACACAATAACTCTTATATCTACCTAAAGGAAGCACATGTTTTGATAGATTTCAGCATTTCGGTAATAACCACAAGTCAATGGTTGGACCTTTAGACGCTTTGTGCGACCGCCCCTTAACGAGGACAATATTCAAACAACTAGAGGCCGAGGGCGAGCGAGTGGGGCTAGCAGACCAAATGCACACTTAAAGCTGCCTGATGGCAATAGTGTTGGGACACACAGCGTATCGATAAAGTTAAAAAAAAATGTATGTGTCTAAGTAGTTTTTGAGGCGTTGAAAAGCTCTGACACCAGGGTCCATCGGGGCGTTAAACGACTCGGTGTCCTACACGAAGAGAGAGAGAGAGAGAGCAGTTCTTTAAGTAGACCTGCTAAGTAAAAGCACACAAGTTATCTAGGATAAAAAGCAGAAGGAATAGTTATATCACTTTTTTTTGTTTGATGCCAAGTACTTCCCAAGCGTAATATCCAAACGCACACATTAACTATTATACATACCTAAAGGAAACTTTTATTTTGATAGATTCCAGCGTTTTGGTAATAGCCACAAACCATTGGCTGGACCTTAAGCACTAGACGCTTTGTGCGACTGCCCCTTAACGGGCACAATATTCAAACAACTAGAGAATCTAGCAACCCTAGCTATATAATATAACAAGTGACAATAACGCAAATCCTAAATAGGTTGGAGTGATTCTTCTGTACAGTCTCTTTTTTATTCCAAAGGCTAAAGCCCAAAAGACCATCAGACCACAGAGTCAATAACATCGTTTCACTATCAGTACAACCACAAGCCATTGGCTGGACCTTAAGCACTAGACGCTTTGTGCGACTGCCTCTTAACCATAACCATAACAGCCACAACAGTCCACTGCTGGACATGGGCCTCCCCCTATCAGGGGGTATTGCCATACTCACCACGCTTGGCAGGCGGATTGGCGAGCGCAGTGCATGATGGTGCATTAACAGGGAACGCTGCTGCCCATTCCCTGGATGAATATCCCTAAGTCGCTTTTTACGACACCCACGGGTAGAATTGGGGTGATGCTATTCTAAGCCGGGATCACACGGCAAACTGTTCCTTAACGAGGTCAATATTCAAATAACTAGAGGCCGAGGGCGAGCGAGTGGGGCTAGCAGACCAAATGCACACTTAAAGCTGCCTGATGGCAATAGTGTTGGGACACAGTCCGTATCGATAAGTAGTACAAGGCATAGTATAGGTACCTAATTTTTAAAACAGTTCCCGTGCTTAAGGAAAAGTATACCAAATTTTTAAAACACTTTCCGTGTTAGCTAAGTTAACAATTTAGGAAAACTTGCAAAATTTTCACCGCAGGCTGGATTTGAACCAGCGACTTTGCCATCTGTAATGGCGACGCTTCTACCAACTGGGTTACGCTACAGCGACTCACTTCAAGCCCGCGAATTATGCAAAAAACTGGAGTCAAATCATAACTCCAAAGGCTAAAGCCCAAAAGACCATTAGACCACAGAGTCAATTACATGGTAACCACAAACCATTGGCTGGACCTTAAGCACTAGACGCTTTGTGCGACTGCCCCTTAACCATAACCATAACAGCAACAACAGTCCACTGCTGGACATGGGCCTCCCCCAATCGGGGGGTATTGCCATACTCACAACGCTTGGCAGGCGGATTGGCGAGCGCAGTGCATGATGGTGCATTAACAGGGAACGCTGCTGCCCATTCCTTGGATGAATATCCCTTAGTCGCTTTTTACGACACCCACGGGTAGAATTGGGGTGATGCTATTCTAAGCCGGCATCACACGGCGACCGCCCCTTAACGAGCACAATATTCAAACAACTAGAGGCCGAGGGCGAGCGAGTGGGGCTAGCAGACCAAATGCACACTTAAAGCTGCCTGATGGCAATAGTGTTGCGACACAGTCAGTATCGATAAGTAGTACAAGGTATAGTATACCTAATTTTTAAAACAGGTCCCGTGCTTAAGGAAAAGTATACCAAATTTTTAAAATACTTTCCGTGTTAGATAAGTAAATCTTGCAAAATTTTCATCGCAGGCTGGATTGGAACCAGTGACTTTGCCATCTGTAATGGCGACGCCTCTACCAACTGTTCTTGTATTAGATTTAGAGCTATGGTGCGTACTAGTATTGAATCTAGCAACCCTATACGATAATCCTGAATAGGTTCGTGTGATCCTTCTGTAAAGTCTTTTATTTATTCCAAAGGCCAAAGCCCAAAAGACCATTAGACCACAAAGTCAATAACATCTTTTCACTATCAGATCAACCGCAAGCTGGACCGCATTGGCTGGACCTTAAGCACTAGACGCTTTGTGCGACTGCCCCTTAGCGAGGACAATATTCAAACAACTAGAGGCCGAGGGCAAGCGAGTGGGGCCAGCAGACCAAATGCACACTTAAAGCTGCCTGATGGCAATAGTGTTGGGACACAGTCAATATCGATAAGTAGTACAAGGCATAGTATACCTAATTTTTAAAACAGTTCGTGTTTAAGGAAAAAGTATACCAAATTTTTAAAACACTTTCCGTGTCAGGTAAGTATACAATTTAGGAAAACTTGCAAAATTTTCACCGCAGGCTGGATTTGAACCAGCGACTTTGCCATCTGTAATGGCGACGCCTCTACCAACTGGGTTACACTACAGCGGCTCACTCCAAGCCCGCAAATTATGCAAAAAAATGGAGTCAATTCATAACTCCAAAGGCTAAATGGCCAAAAGATCATTAGACCACAGAGTCAATAACATCTTTTCACTATCAGAACAACCACAAACCATTGGCTGGACCTTAAGCACTAGACGCTTTGTGCGACTGCCCCTTAACGATGACAAAAAATTTGAATGAGTCTAAGTGGTTCTTTGAGCAGACCTGCTAAGCAAAAGCACACTAGTTCTCGAGGAAAAAAGCAGAAGGAATAGTTATCTCACTTTTTTTAAATTTGATGCCAAGTTCCCTAACATAATATCCAAACGCACACATTAACTCTTATATCTACCTAAAGGAAGCACATTTTTTGATAGATTTCAGGGTTTTGGTAATATGTAGCCACAAACCATTGGCTGGACCTTAAGCACTAGACGCTTTGTGCGACTGCCCCTTAACGAGGACAATATTCAAACAACTGGAGGCCGAGGGCGAGCGAGTGGGGCTAGCAGACCAAATGCACACTTAAAGCTGCCTGATGGCAATAGGGTTGGGACACAGAGCGTATCGATAAACTAAATAAAATTATGTATATGTCTTATTTTTTTTTATTGAGTTAGTCACTTTACAAAAACATTAATAATTAAAAATGTTATCATAAAAATCCTTACAAGAAAAATGGGTTTGTCTTGAAACCATTATTCCTTATATCTACTAAACATTATACATAATAATTAAACACAAAAACATTTTTAATGCTCATACATATAGGTAAAATAAAACCGAATTACAATCTCTGACACCAGGGTTCATCGGGTCGTTGAACGACTCGGTGTCCTACACGAAGAGAGAGAGTAGTTCTTTGAGCAGACCTCCTAAGCAAAGGCACACTAGTTCACCCGGATACAAAAGCAGAAGGAATAGGTATCTCACAATTTTTTTCTTCGATGCTTAATCTCCTCAGCATAATATCCAAACGCACACAGAATAACTACAAGCCATTGGCTGGACCTTAAGCACCAGACGCTTTGTGCGACTGCCCCTTAACGAGGACAATATTCAAACAACTAGAGGCCGAGGGCGAGCGAGTGGGGTAACAGACCAAATGCACACTTAAAGCTGCCTGATGGCAATAGTGATGGGACACAGAGCGTATCGATAAAGTAAAAAAAAATTATGTATGTTAAGTTCTTTCTTTTCTTTATTCTTTAGTTCAGGTAGTTCTTTGAGGCATTGTAAAGCTCTGACACCAGGGTTCATCGGGTCGTTGAACGACTCGGTGTCCTACACGAAGACAGAGAGTAGTTCTTTGAGTAGACCTGCTAAGCAAAAGCACATAAGTTCTCCAGGATAAAAAGCAGAAGGAATATGTATCTCACATTCTTTTTATTGGATGCCAAGTACTTCCCTAGCATAATATCCAAACGCACACATTAACTATTATACATAACTAAAGGAAACACATATTTTGATAGATTTCAGCGTTTCGGTAATAGCCATAAGCCATTGGCTGGACCTTAACCATTGGTGCACATCTGGGCAGGTTTTTGGGGGGTTTTCCTGTCCAGGGGGTCCGGCTAACTATACACATGGAACACCTTTTTAAAATATTGACATAATTTAATTCCATTTACTTGTAATTCACTGAGGCATAAAGTTACATGCTGTGTGGTTAGCCTGGCCAGCCCCGAGGCAGTGCCTTTATTTTTATTTTTTTATCCCGCCCGAGCCGCGTATAGAGTAGGAACACAAATTGTTATAAAAAAGAGAAAATTTTTGCATTAGAAATTTTCTCTTTTTAAAAGCTTTTATTTAACTTGCAGTGTATGTAAGTAAGGAAGTAAAAATGTTTGTTCGGGTCAAATCTTGCAACTCAAATTTGAAGCAGATATCCTCAACCGATTGAGCTGAAATTTTGTAAACACGTTTAACTCAGATGACAATGCATGTTAGATTGTGTTTGGTTATTCTAAATCCAATATGGCGGAATATCCAAGATGGCCGACAAGTAAGTTTTGACGCACTCCTACAATATGGGTGTCAAATGAAAGGACTTGCTGAGTACAATTCAGAAAATAATATGGCGGACATCTAAAGATGGCCACCTATGATAATTTACAATTATGAGTGTCAGATGAAAGGGTTTTCTGAGAATTACCTATTCGAATTACAAGTTGACGTCATTCTAAATTATTTATCGTGGACTTCTTAAGATGGCAGAATAACATTTTTATGCTTTTTTACAATATGGATGTCAAATGAAAGGATTTTTTCAGAATAACTCGAAAAATAAAGTGTCGTTTACGTCACTCAAAACAAAACCAGATACTTATGACGGACTAGGTTAGATGGCGGTTTAAAGATGTTATGTTTTCTTACTAAATTGGTAAAACACATAGACAAATGAAAGATAAATACTAGTGTGAGGTAAATGACGTCACTTTGCACAGATTTAGAGGGTTGAATGGTTGTTGTGTTGGGGTTTTTAGTCTTCTGTTCATGGTACTGTCAATGAAGAGGCTACATAAAGTTTAGCGATTGCCCAGCTTGGGTACAATAAGTTTTTCGTAGAGGACGAAACTCATACCGAGTCGTAAGACACTCATGAGACCGATGCCTCGCAGATTCGCAGTAGTCCGTATGGAGTATGGACGCAGTTTCAAAGTCTATGAAGAATGTTGTAATATTTTTTCCAGAGATTACTAAAAAGCAAGAAATAAATTTTAGGTAAAAAACATTTTTAAAACAAGCTTTTATTTGGGTGCGCTAAAAAGTATAAAATAATCTATTTACTAAAACTTTAACTTGTAACTTTTAATGGCATTAAATCTACGTCTTCACAATTTATACGATATAAAAGCTTGTCGCAAGATTTGACTTGTGTCTAAATCAATAAATAAATTAGAAAGCCAGTGTAAATGATCTTGAATAAACTTTTAAACTAAGTCACACCACACGAGTACCTACTTAAATCTCGCGACAAGCTTTTATATCGTATAAATTGTGAAGACGTAGATTTAATGCCATTAAAAGTTACAAGTTAAAGTTTTAGTAAATAGATTATTTTATACTTTTTAGCGCACCCAAACAAAAGCTTGTTTTAAAAATGTTTTTTACCTAAAATTTTTTAAGTTTGAATTAGAATGTGACTTTCTTAAAGAGAATCTTGTAAATTCCTACTAAGAAATAAATTATTGAATTATGAATTAAGCACTAGACGCTTTGTGCGACTGCCCCTTAACGAGGACAATATTCAAACAACTAGAGGCCGAGGGCAAGCGAGTGGGGCTAGCAGACCAAATGCACACTTAAAGCTGCCTGATGGCAATAGTGTTGGGACACAGAGCGTATCGATAAAGTTAAAAAAAAATGTATGTGTCTAAGTAGTTCTTTGAGGCGTTGAAAAGCTCTGACACCAGGGTCATCGGGTCGTTGAACGACTCGGTGTCCTACACGAAGAGAGAGAAGAGAGTAGTCATTTGAGTAAACCTGCTAAGCAAAAGCACACAAGTTCTCCAGGATAAAAAGCAGAAGAAATAGGTTTCTCACATTTTTTTTATTTGGTGCCTAGTACTTCCCCAGCATAATATATAAAAGCACACATTAATTCTGATATCTACCTAAAGGAAACACATATTTTGATAGATTTCAGAGTTTTGGTAATGGCCACAAGCCATTGGCTGGACCTTAAGCACCAGACTCTTTGTGCGACTGCCCCTTAACGAGGACAATATTCAAACAACTAGAGGCCGAGGGCGAGCGAGTGGGGCTAGCAGACCAAATGCACACTTAAAGCTGCTTGATGGCAATAGTGTTGGGACACAGAGCGTATCGATAAAGTAAAAAAATATGAAATTGTCTAAATAGCATCACCCCAATTCTACCCGTGGGTGTCGTAAAAAGCGACTAAGGGATATTTATCCAGGGAATGGGCAGCAGCGTTCCCTGTCAATGCAACATCATACACTGCGCCAATCCGCCTGCCAAGCGTGGTGAGTATTGCAATACCCCCCGATAGGGGGAGGCCCATGTCCAGCAGTGGACTGTTGTGGCTGTTATGGTTATGGTTATGGTTTAAGTAGTTCTTTGAGCAGACCTCCTAAGCAAAGGCACACTAGTTCACCCAGATATAATAGCAAAAGGAATAGGTATCACACAATTTTTTTCTTCGATGCTTAATCTCCTCAGCATAATATCCAAACGCACACAGAATAACCACAAACCATTGGCTGGACCTTAAGCACTAGACGCTTTGTGCGACTGCCCCTTAACGAGGACAACATTCAAACAACTAGAGGCCGAGGGCGAGCGAGTGCGGCTAGCAGACCAAATGCACACTTAAAGCTGCCTGATGGCAATAGTGTTGGGACACAGAGCGTATCGATAAAGCTTAAAAAAAAATGTTTGTGTCTAAGTTGTTCTTTGAGGCGTTGGAAAGCTCTGACACCAGGGTTCATCGGGTCGTTGAACGACTCGGTGTCCTACACAAAGAGAGAGAGAGAGTAGTTCTTTGAGTAGACCTGCTAAGCAAAAGCACACAAGTTCTCCAGGATAAAGAGCAAAATGAATACGTATCTCACATTTTTTCATTAATGCCTAGTACTGCACTAGACGCTTTGTGCGACTGCCCCTTAACGAGGACAATATTCAAACAACTAGAGCAATAGGGTTGGGACACAGAGCGTATCGATAAAGTTTAAAAAAATATGAATAGAAGTAGTTTTTTGAGGCGTTGAAAAGCTCTGACACCTGCACTGAGAAAACGTAGAACGACTCGGTGTCCTACACGAAGAGAGAGAGAGAGAGAGAGAGTAGTTCTTTGAGTAGACCTGCTAAGCAAAAGCACATAAGTTCTCCAGGATAAAAAGCAGAAGGAATAGGTATCCCACATTTATTTATTTGATGCCAAGTACATACATTAACTCTTTATATCAAAAGTGTTGGGGAAACACATATTTTTATAGATTTCAGCGTTTGAGTAATTGAAACTCCGTCAAAAGAAAACG